ACTGCCCCAAGTTGTCTTCAACTGTCCAATATTGTCCTAAACTGTTCCATACTGCCCCAAGTTGTTTTCAACTGTCCAATATTGTCCTAAACTGTTCCATACTGCCCCAAGTTGTCTTCAACTGTCCAATATTGTCCCAATCAATCCCAATCTGTCCCACATCGTCTCCGGCGCCTCTTTGTGGAACACAATCCCCAATTTCCTTAAACTTTCTCTCGACTGTTTACTTTATTTTGTTTCAAAGTTATTCTTAATTTTTTATACCTTCTTTTACATTGTAAACAAATTTGTTTCTTTGTTCACATCTGCTGTTATTAGTTTCTTCTCTTGTGTTATTTGTTCATCTTTGTTGTTATTTCTCTTGTTCATCTTTCCTTTTTCCCGGATTTATTGTGTTTTCTGACTCATCTCCTTTATTAGCGATGCTTCCATTCCTATTTTTTTTTACTATATTTACAATTTTTTTTACTGTTTTACACTATTATCAACTTTTACTTTTCATTCCCACCTGTTTCATCACTTATTTTACTGCTCCTGACACCTACTTTCTCCTGATTCGTAGCCCATTTCCACCCTTCATGTGAACACTGGGCCAAGAGCCGCCAGTTGAACACTGGGCCAAGAGCCGCCAGTTGAACACTGGGCCAAGAGCCGCCAGTTGAACACCGGGCCAAGAGCCGCCAGTTGAACACTGGGCCAAGAGCCGCCAGTTGAACACTGGGCCAAGAGCCGCCAGTTGAACACCGGCCAAGAGCCGCCAGTTGAACACTGGGCCAAGAGCATCCAGTTGAACACTGGGCCAAGAGCCGCCAGTTGAACACTGGGCCAAGAGCCGCCAGTTGAACACTGGCCAAGAGCCGCCAGTTGAACACTGGGTCCAAGAGCCGCCAGTTGAACACCGGGCCAAGAGCCGCCAGTTGAACACTGGGCCAAGAGCCGCCAGTTGAACACTGGGCCAAGAGCCGCCAGTTGAACACTGGGCCAAGAGCCGCCAGTTGAACACTGAGCCAAGAGCCGCCAGTTGAACACTGAGCCAAGAGCCGCCAGTTGAACACTGGGCCAAGAGCCGCCAGTTGAACACTGGGCCAAGAGCCGCCAGTTGAACACTGAGCCAAGAGCCGCCAGTTGAACACTGGGCCAAGAGCCGCCAGTTGAACACTGGGCCAAGAGCCGCCAGTTGAACACTGGGCCAAGAGCCGCCAGTTGAACACTGGCCCAAGAGCCGCCAGGCCAAGAGCCGCCAGTTGAACACCAGGGCCAAGAGCCGCCAGTTGAACACTGAGCCAAGAGCCGCCAGTTGAACACTGGGCCAAGAGCCGCCAGTTGAACACTGGGCCAAGAGCCGCCAGTTGAACACTGAGCCAAGAGCCGCCAGTTGAACACTGAGCCAAGAGCCGCCAGTTGAACACTGGGCCAAGAGCCGCCAGTTGAACACTGGGCCAAGAGCCGCCAGTTGAACACTGGGCCAAGAGCCGCCAGTTGAACACTGGGCCAAGAGCCGCCAGTTGAACACTGGGCCAAGAGCCGCCAGTTGAACACTGGGCCAAGAGCCGCCAGTTGAACACTGGGCCAAGAGCCGCCAGTTGAACACTGGGCCAAGAGCCGCCAGTTGAACACTGGGCCAAGAGCCGCCACATCCAAAGCAAGAAAGATGTTCCACAGTGAGGCTGGAGAAGCGGGAGATAATTCTTGCTTGTCTATCATTATTCTGCATTTCGCTTGGTCCCATTTCTCCTTTGAATATTTTCACCATTTACATAATCGCAGACCACTCGACGGCTTCCCAAATGGAGGAGTGGGGGAGGGGGAGAAGGTGGGGGAGTAGGGGGGGGAGAAGGTGGGAGGGAAGTAGGGGGGAGGGGGAGAAGGTGGGGATTAGGGGGGGAGGGGCAGAAGGTGGGAAGTAGGGGGGAAGGGGAGAAGGTGGGAGGGAAGTAGGGGGGGGATGAGGGGGAGGCAGAGGTCAGAATGAAGAAATAGGAAGGGGGAGAGGAAGGAGGTGGCCATGGAGGAAGAGGGGGAGGCCATGGAGGAAGAGGGGGAGGCCATGGAGGAAGAGGGGGAGACCATGGAGGAAGAGAGGGAGGCCATGGAGGAAGAGGGGGAGGCCATCCATGGAGGAACAGGAGGTCATGGAGGAAGAGGGGGAGACCATGGAGGAAGAGGGAGAGGCCAGGGAGGAACGGGAGGCCATGGAGGAAGAGGGGGAGGCCATGGAGGAAGAGGGGGAGGCCATGGAGGAAGAGGGGGAGACCATGGAGGAAGAGAGGGAGACCATGGAGGAAGAGGTAGAGGCCACGAAGGAAGAGGGGGAGACCATGGAGGAAGAGGTAGAGGCCATGGAGGAACAGGAGGTCATGGAGAAAGAGGAGAAGGCCATGGAGGAAGAGGGGGAGACCATGGAGGAAGAGGGGGAGGCCATGGAGGAGGAGGAGGTCAAGGATATAAACGATGTGTAAGAGTCTTGAGTTTCTGATATTATTCTCGTTTTCAAGAATGCATAATATATCAGTTGAGTTTTGTGTGTAATTTTGGGATGGGGTGATGGGTGACGGGATGGGGTGATGGGAGGGGGGTGACGGGATGGGGTGATGGGAGGGAAGGTAACATGATGGGGTGATGGGAGAGAGGGAAAGGTGATAATGAGATGGCGAGAAGAAGAGGAGATAGGGAGGAAGAGAAGAAGGGCTTGGTAAATGGAGAAGGGGGGAAAAAGAGGAGAATGAAGGAAGAGAAGAAGGGCTTGGTAAATGGAGAAGGGGGGAAAAAGAGGAGAATGAAGGAAGAGAAAGGGAAGGTGGAGGTAGAAGAGCATGGGTGTGTGAAGAGAGAAGAGAAGGGAGAGTACAGGATGGAAGAGTATCCCTTTAAGCGAGTTTACCTTCCCTGCTGATGTAGAGCAGGTGTAAACCATGTCAACTTCTCCCTCACTATGTGAGGGAGTGAGGGAAGATGAGGGAGTTTGGAGACACTTGTGTAAAAAAATTTCAAGAAATTAGTAAATATTACATTTAAAATGATCTCGCAGAACTTTTAGCCAGGGGAGCCGGTCGGCCGAGCGCTGGACTTGTGATCCTGTGGTCCCGGGATCGATCCCGGGTGCCGGCGAGAAACAGTGGGCAGAGTTACTTTCACTCTATGCCCCTGTTACCTAACAGTAAAATAGGTACCTGGGTGTTAGTCAGCTGTCACGGGCTGCTTCCTGGGGGTGGAGGCCTGGTCGAGGACCGGGCCGCGGGGACACTAAAGCCCCGAAATCATCTCAAGATAACCTCAGGTATATTCTCTTTGCTGACTGTGAGAAGTAAATATCGGATGGGTGTGGGGTCCACCACCGCCCACAGGATGGGTGTAGGGTCCACCACCGTCCACGGGATGGGTATGGGGTCCACCACCGTCCACGAGATGGGTGTAACCCACTAACCCACGCCCCCACCACCAACCACCACACACCCCCACCACCAACCACCCCACACCACCACCACCAACCACCCCACACCCCCACCACCTCACACCCCCACCACCCCACTACCACCAACCACCCCACACCCCCACCAACCCCACACCATCACCACCCCACACCCCCACCACCAACCACCCCACACCACCAACCACCCCACACCCCCACCACCAACCCCCCACACCACCACCACCAACCACCCCACACCCCCACCACCCCACACCATCACCACCCCACACCCCCACCACCAACCACCCCACACCACCACCACCAACCACCCCACACCCCCACCACCCCACACCATCACCACCCCACACCCCCACCACCACCACCCCACACCATCACCACCCCACACCATCACCACCCCACACCACCACCACCAACCACCCCACACCCCCACCACCACCACCCCACACCATCACCACCCCACACCCCCACCACCACCACCCCACACCATCACCACCCCACACCATCACCACCCCACACCCCCACCACCACCACCCCACACCATCACCACCCCACACCATCACCACCCCACACCACCACCACCAACCACCCCACACCCCCACCACCACCACCCCACACCATCACCACCCCCACACCCCCACCACCACCACCCCACACCATCACCACCCCACACCATCACCACCCCCCACACCATCACCACCCCACACCCCCACCACCACCACCCCACACCATCACCACCCCACACCATCACCACCCCCACACCATCACCACCCCACACCACCACCACCAACCACCCCACCACACCCCCACCACCAACCACCCCACACCACCACCACCAACCACCCCACACCCCCACCACCCCACACCATCACCACCCCACACCACCACCAACAACCACCCCACACCCCCACCACCCCACACCACCACCACCCAACACATTATTTCAAGCGTCTTACACCTTTGCAATTTTTCCCGGACGGCCGCTCCCTTTACGTTAGCCGCGATGTCTGGGTGTCCCCGAGGACGATGGCGGGGTGGTGGAGGAGGAGCAGGTGGGGGAGGAGCAGGTGGAGCAGGAGGTGGTCGAGGAGGGGAAGAGATAGGTGGAGGGAGGGGGCGTAGAGGAAGGAGGAACAGGAGAATAGTCAGGAAGGAGTAATAAGCCGGGAAAAGAGACAAATAAATGAAAGGAAAGACAATACAAATTAGGGAATAAGAATATCGAGAAGAAAATAGGGAAACCCCCTCCCCCCTCAACCCCCCAATTCCACCCCTCCCCATTTTCCACGCTCTGCAACCCATTGTCACCTGAAGAAGGCAGATCTCAACAAAAAAATGTTCCCAGTTGAAGCTTGCTTTTTGACTCCCGTTGTTCAGTAAATTAATATCGTATTTTTCTCTCTGGCGTTTCCTGGCCATTCTCTCGTGGTAATATCCTCAACATGGACACAATCCCCTCACCTGTTTACCTTACTTTTGTATACAAGTTTCAAAGGATCTTTCCTGAGGAGATAATGTATGTGTGTGTGTTGTGGGTGAAGCTTGAAGTGTGTATAATGGGTGTTTAAGGCTGTCATATTGTGAGTTTTTCACCTGGACGATCGACCTTGCCTCCTGCTTGCACGTGGGGTGGGCGTGGAGTCGATGGGTGGGCGGCGGAGTCGGTGGGTGGGCGGTGGGTGGGCGGTGGGGTCGGTGGGTGGGCGGCGGAGTCGGTGGGTGGGCGGTGGGTGGGCGGTGGAGTCGGTGGGTGGGCGGCGGAGTCGGTGGGTGGGCGGTGGGTTCGGTGGGTGGGCGGCGGAGTCGGTGGGTGGGCGGTGGGGTCAGTGGGTGGGCGGTGGAGTCGGTGGGTGGGCGGTGGGGGTCGGTGGGTGGGCGGTGGAGTCGGTGGGTGGGCGGTGGGGTCGGTGGGTGGGCGGTGGGGTCGGTGGGTGGGCGGTGGAGTCGGTAGGTGGGCGGTGGAGTCGGTGGGTGGGCGGTGGAGTCGGTGGGTGGGCGGTGGAGTCGGTGGGTGGGCGGCGGAGTCGGTGGTGGGCGGCGGAGTCGGTGGGTGGGCGGTAAGGGTCGGTGGGTGGGCGGCGGAGTCGGTGGGTGGGCGGTGGGGTCGGTGGGTGGGCGGCGGAGTCGGTGGGTGGCGGTGGGGGTCGGTGGGTGGGCGGTGGGTGGGCGGTGGAGTCGGTGGGTGGGCGGCGGAGTCGGTGGGTGGGCGGTGGGGGTCGGTGGGTGGGCGGCGGAGTCGGTGGGGTCGGTGGGTGGGCGGTGGGGTCGGTGGGTGGGCGGCGGAGTCGGTGGGTGGGCAGTGGGGTCGGTGGGTGGGCGGTGGAGTCGGTGGGTGGGCGGCGGAGTCGGTGGGTGGGCGGCGGAGTCGGTGGGTGGGCGGTGGGGGTCGGTGGGTGGGCGGTGGGGGTCGGTGGGTGGGCGGTGGAGTCGGTGGGTGGGCGGTCGGGGTCGGTGGGTGGGCGGTGGGGGTCGGTGGGTGGGCGGTCGGGTCGGTGGGTGGGCGGTGGAGTCGGTGGGTGGGCGGTGGGGTCGGTGGGTGGGCGGTGGGGTCGGTGGGTGGGCGGCGGGGTCGGAGGGTGGGCGGCGTTGTCGGTGGGTGAGCGGCGGAGTCGGTGGGTGGGCGGCGGAGTCGCTGGGAAGGCGGCGGAGTCGCTGGGAGGGCGGCGGGGTCGGTGTGTGGGCGGCGATGTCGGAGGGTGGGCGGCTGAGTCGCTGGGAGGGCGGCGGAGTCGCTGGGAGGGTGGCGGAGTTGCTGGGAGGGTGGCGGAGTCGCTGGGAAGGCGGCGGAGTCGCTGGGAGGGTGGCGGAGTCGCTGGGAGGGTGGCGGAGTCGCTGGGATGGCGGCGGAGTCGCTGGGAGGGTGGCGGAGTCGCTGGGAGGGTGGCGGAGTCGGTGGGTGGGCGGCGGGGTCGGTAGGGGGGCGGTGATGGGAAGGGGGGGACAGACGAAGTAGATAGAGGGAACGATGAAGTAGACAATGGCGCAGTTAACGCCACAGAATGGTTCGTTTCCGACCATCCAGCTTCCAATGAGGCAATTGGAAGCGTTCATTTAGCCCCAGAATGCCCGTTAATATCACAACAGTCATAACAGGACCGTTAACGGGCTCTGTAATCCTGTTGACCAGGTTCTGTTAGGACCACAATTCTGTTCGGACTGTCAGTTCATATAGGCGGCATTAATTATCTGCGCGGCCTACTGACTATATTAAATGATCGTTTGAGTATTGTAAGGCGAGACTGGGTAGGGGAGGTACTACCCTTGATAGGTAGGGTAGGGTAGGTACCACCCTTGGTATGTAGGGTAGGGTAGGTACCACCCTTTTCATCCAAGGGCTATATAGACTAATGGCTTGGCGCTTTCCCCTGATAGTTCCCTTCCCTTCCCTTTTGATTCTCCCTTTCCCTTGTTCTACTGACATCTCCTTTCTCTTCTTCCTCTGGAATGACTTACAACAACAACAATAATAATAATAATAATAATAATAATAATATAATAATTAGAATAAAATCTTTCTCTGTTCTTTATTAATTATTTTTTCCTGTTGACAGGTATGTTGCTGATGGTCCGAAGGTTCGGTGTCGTGTGAGTAGAATTATCCAGGCGTGTATATGTGATTCCACTTATACGGGTGTATATTTGTGAGTCAATTTATATAAGTGTTGTGTCAGTATATGTATACAGGAAAATACGAATCTTGGTCCCTAGAAGTTACTGCTTTGGCAGTTTCCAATGCAACGCAGAGTCCTAGATTCTTCCCTTTCTGTTTGGCTCGTCGCAAATCATCAATTCTAGAACGTCTTGCAATACGTCCGCCCTCTTCAAGCTCTCGAGATACACTGAGAACCGCAAGCCAATGAGCAGCCTTTGCAGCTCCACCTCGGGAGTCACGTGATCTCAGATCACGCTCCGATTGGCAGGTTGCTAGAAAGCTTAGCTAATTACGTCACTCTTCTACATCCGGGTCCCCTGGAACTTTCTCGGCTCTGTAGGTACAAAATCGTCGAAATTTACAAATATCAAAATTGCATTGTAAATATACATCCTATTCTTATCTAAACTGAACTAAGAGTTTGTGCCCTGAGGCGTGTGTGTATGACTTTGGAGGGCGGGAAGAAAGGTGTTAGGACACCGCCACCATAATAGTGCCTGAATAAACACTGTTTTCTTAAATTCTTTAATCTAACCCCCTCCTTTATCCTTTGCCCCTTCCTACTTCCCTCTCCCTCCTCTTTCCTTCTCTCTCCCCTCCTTCCTCTCCCTCCCTCCCTCTCCTTTCTCTTCTCTTTCCCTCTTCCTCTTTGTCTTTTTCTCTCGCCTATATTTCTCCAGTCCGTCCTTTCTATCGTTCACAACGTCACTAAAATAATACACTAAACTGCCCGAACCTAACCTAACCTAACCGAGCACCCGCGAATAGAAAACGGGACATCACCTCAATTTTTTTTTTTTTTTTTTTTTTTTTTGGCGAACCGCTATGATTTTAAATACATCTTATTTTGACGTTTGGGGGAAAATAAAATATAAAAAAATATCATAAAATATGATGTGTTATGAGAGAGGACAGGTTGTGATCTCTCACCTATCTCACCTTTCTCTCACCTCCCACCTTTCTCTCACCTCTCTCCCTCGTTTCTTTCTCTCTACCTTCAAATATTTAGCTTCCGTGATCCATGGGACATGGGTCACCATCTGCTGGCACTGGACAAAGCGACGTCCCTGGCCAAACAAGGTGGACGGGAAGCTAACCAGCCATTTAGAGGCGGTCGAGACAAATACACAAACAAACATGGTCTCGGGATCAAGTATCTGGCGTCAGGAAATTGGCAGAAAAGGATGAATGTAAGTTGAGTAGTGGAGTGTGTGTGTGTGTGTGGGGGGGGGGTTGTTTTGTTTGCTTGGGTTTGTGTAGATTGGTGTTTTTTGGGGGCGTATGTTTTAGTGTGTTTGGTTGGGTTGGTGTGTGTGTTTGGTTGGGTTGGTGTGTGTGTTTGGTTGGGTTGGTGTGTGTGTTTGGTTGGGTTGGTGTGTGTGTTTGGTTGGGTTGGTGTGTGTGTTTGGTTGGGTTGGTGTGTACTCACCTAATTGTGCTTGCGGGGTTGAGCTTTGTCTCTTTGGTCCCGCCTCTCAACTGTCAATCAACTGGTGTACAGGTTCCTGAGCCTACTGGGCTCTATCATATCTACATTTGAAACTGTGTATGGAGTCAGCCTCCACCACATCACTGCCTAGTGCATTCCATTTATTAACTACTCTGACACTGAAAAAATTCTTTCTAACGTCTCTGTGGCTCATCTGAGTACTAAGTTTCCACCTGTGTCCCCTTGTTCGTGTCCCACTCGTGCTGAAGAGTTTGTCTTTGTCCACCCTGTCAATTCCCCTGAGAATTTTGTAGGTAGTTATCATGTCTCCCCTTACTCTTCTGTTTTCCAGGGACGTGAGGTTCAGCTCCTTAAGCCTTCTCCTCGTAGCACATACCTCTCAGTTCCGGGACGAGCCTGGTGGCATACCTCTGAATCTTCTCTAACTTTGTCTTGTGTTTAACGAGGTATGGACTCCAGGCTGGAGCTGCATATTCCAGGATTGGTCTTACATAAGTGGTATACAGGGTCCTGAACTATTCTTTACACAAGTTTCTAAAGGCAGTTCTTATGTTGGCCAGTCTAGCATATGCCGCTGATGATATCCTTTTTATGTGGGCCTCTGGGGACAGGTTCGGTGTGATATCAACCCCCAGATCTTTCTCTCTATTTGACTCTTGCAGGATTTCACCTCCCAGATGGTACCTTGTGTTCAGCCTCCTGCTCCCTTCGCCTAATTTCATTACCTTACACTTTCCTGAGTTGAACTTTAGCAGCCATTTTCTAGACCATTCCTCCAGTTTGTCTAGGACATCCTGTAGTCTCTGTCTATCTTCATCCGTCTTGATTCTTCTCATAATTTTTGCATAATCAGCACCATTGAGAGGAACGAGTCTATACCCTCCGATGGTATATACATGGGCAGTACTCCATGACAGCCTTTTATGGGGTACTGTGTCAAAGGCTTTCTGGCAGTCCAGGAAAATGCAGTCGGCCCACCCTTCTCTTTCCTGCCTAATTTTGAAAATTAGGTTAAATCAAAAATAATTTTGATTTTCCTGCCATCTCTGAACCCATGTTGGTGGTGTGTTACAAAGTTATTTCCCTCCAGATGTTCTACGAGCCTTTTCCTCGCGATCTTCTCCATCACCTTGCATGGTATACAAGTTAGGGGAAACTGGCCTATAGTTCACTGCCTCTTGCCTGTCACCCTTCTTGTATATTGGAACTACGTTAGCTGTCTTCCAACTTTCTGGTAGGTCTCCTGTTTCCAGTGACCTGTTATATTCCATAGAGAGTGGCACACTTAGTGCTTCGGCACCTTCTTTTAGTATCCACGGTGAGATTCTGTCATGCCCAACAGCCTTTGTCACATCCAGCTCCAGTAGACACCTTTTGACCTCATCACTGGTGAGGTCAAATTCCTCCAAGGTTGTTTGGTTTGCCTCCTCCTCATTTAGTGCAGGGGCTTCTCCTTGTTCTATTGTGAAGACCTCCTGGAATCTCTTGTTGAGTTCTTCACACACCTCCTTGTCATTCTCTGTGTATCTGTTCTCCACTTTTTTTTCAATTTCATCACTTGTTCCTTCACTGCTGTTTTCCTCCTGATGTGGCTGTGGAGCAGCTTTGGTTGGGTGTTGGCTTTACTCGCGATGTCATTTTCATACTGTCTCTCTGCTTCCCTCCTCACTCTCAGGTACTCATTTCTGGCCCTCTGGTATCTCTCCCTGCTCTCCGGTGTTCTGTTATTTCTGTAGTTTCTCCATGTTCTTTTACTCAGTTGCTTCGCTACCTTGCATTCCTGGTTGAACCATGGGGTTTTCTGTTGTTTATCGTTTTTCTCCTCTTGGGCGGGGATAAACCTGTCTGCAGCTTCCTGGCACTTCTGGGTGACAAAATCCATCATGTCCTGCACATTCTTGTCTCTAAGTTCTGTTACTGGGTGGTGGTGGGTGGTGGGGGGCGGTGTGGGTGGTGGGGACGGTGGATGGAGTGGGTCTCAACACCCCCTCACCCCCTCCCAACACCCCCTCCCAACACGCCCTCACCCCCTCTCAACACCCCCCTCGCCCCTCTCAACACCCCCTCACCCCTCTCAACACCCCCCTCACCCCTCTCAACACCCCCCCTCACCCTTCTCAACACCCCCTCACCCCCTCCCAACACCCCCTCCCAACACGCCCTCACCCCCTCTCAACGCCCCCTCACCCCCTCTCAACGCCCCCCTCGCCCCTCTCAACGCCCCCTCGCCCCTCTCAACACCCCCCTCGCCCCTCTCAACACCCCCTCACTCCTCTCAACACCCCCTCATCCTTCTCAACACCCCCCCTCACCCTTCTCAACACCCCCCTCACCCCCTCCCAACACCCCCTCCCAACACCCCCCTCACCCCTCTCAACACCCCCTCACCCCTCTCAACACCCCCTCGCCCCTCTCAACACCCCCTCACCCCCTCTCAACACCCCCCTCGCCCCTCTCAACACCCCCCCTCGCCCCTCTCAACACCCCCTCACCCCTCTCAACACCCCCTCACCCCTCTCAACACCCCCTCGCCCCTCTCAACACCCCCTCACCCCTCTCAACACCCCCTCACCCCTCTCAACACCCCCTCACCCCTCTCAACGCCCCCTCACCCCTCTCAACACCCCCTCACCCCTCTCAACACCCCCTCACCCCTCTCAACACCCCCCTCACCCCTCTCAACACCCCCTCACCCCTCTCAACACCCCCTCACCCCTCTCAACACCCCCTCACCCCTCTCAACACCCCCTCACCCCTCTCAACACCCCCCTCGCCCCTCTCAACACCCCCCTCACCCCCTCTCAACACCCCCTCACCCCTCTCAACACCCCCCTCGCCCCTCTCAACACCCCCTCACCCCTCTCAACACCCCCTCAGCCCCCCTCACCCCTCTCACACACCCCCCTCAACCCCCCCCTCGCCCCTCTCAACACCCCCTCGCCCCTCTCAACACCCCCCTCGCCCCCTCTCAACACCCCCCTCACCCCTCTCAACACCCCCCTCACCCCTCTCAACACCCCCCTCACCCCTCTCAACACCCCCTCACCCCTCTCAACACCCCCCTCACCCCTCTCAACACCCCCTCACCCCTCTCAACACCCCCCTCACCCCTCTCAACACCCCCTCACCCCTCTCAACACCCCCTCACCCCTCTCAACACCCCCCTCACCCCTCTCAACACCCCCTCACCCCTCTCAACACCCCCTCACCCCCCTCTCAACACCCCCTCACCCCTCTCAACACCCCCCTCACCCCTCTCAACACCCCCTCACCCCTCTCAACACCCCCTCACCCCTCTCAACACCCCCTCACCCCTCTCAACACCCCCTCACCCCTCTCAACACCCCCTCACCCCCTCTCAACACCCCCTCACCCCTCTCAACACCCCCCTCGCCCCTCTCAACACCCCCTCACCCCTCTCAACACCCCCTCACCCCTCTCAACACCCCCCTCGCCCCTCTCAACACCCCCTCACCCCTCTCAACACCCCCTCACCCCTCTCAACACCCCCCTCGCCCCTCTCAACACCCCCTCACCCCCTCTCAACACCCCCCTCGCCCCTCTCAACACCCCCTCGCCCCTCTCAACACCCCCTCACCCCTCTCAACACCCCCCTCACCCCTCTCAACACCCCCTCACCCCTCTCAACACACCCCCTCACCCCTCTCAACACCCCCTCACCCCTCTCAACATCCCCTCGCCCCTCTCAACACCCCCTCACCCCTCTCAACACCCCC